GCACGTAAACACTCACGCTGGCTGACTATGAAGTGCTCCATGCTCTCCTTGGTGCGGCTGGTGCTCCTCAGTCTTTGTATTGTCCCCTTAAGAACTTCTTCTTGCTCAGACACACGCAGTTTCAAGGACAAGATCTCCTCCTGCATGCACTGCTCCTGCATGCACAAATACATACAGATATACTCTGTTAACATTTATTTTAACATAAGTTGTTTGATGCTATTAAAGGCCAAATAAACAAATAAGACAATGCGTAATTTTAAAACCTTCTTAAGGTTCTGGATGGAGGGATCCGTGCTGGGAAGAGCTGCTCTCCAGAACATCTTCAGCAGAGACGTTGCCTCCTCCAAGATCTGCCTCAGAGTCTTGGTGTTAGACAGAAGACTCCTAACACATCCGTAATCCATAATCTGCAAACACAGCTCAGTTAGTTACTCGTGCTCTGTGCTCATTACTTTTTACTTTCAGTTGTCGCCGACTGCTAGGATGGTGAAAACACACCAGCTCGCTGCTCTGTTTCTGGTTTACATCCAGCATTGGTGGACCGAGGCAGGCCTGCAGGGTCATCTCCATGCGCTGGACGAGGCTCCGGCCCTCAAGAACTTGCTGCTGCAAAGCACTGAAGTCATCCACGTGACCAATGGCGTGACGACCATGACGGTTCGCGAATGATCCATCGGGCGCATCCCCCTCCAGCTCAGAGTGTGGATCAAGAGGGTCTGCTGGAGACAAAAGAGCTGGATTGTATTGTGGAAGGACTTCGAATGAAGCTGTTTTTTAATTTTTATTTTATGGAAATTAGAATTCCTTCAAACTACACAAACCAAAAGTGCAGTTATTGTTAGAAAGCAAATAAACCTTCTTCATATTAAGTCAAATTAAGTTGCGGTAACTGAAGTTAAGTCACACCATTGGCAGTGCTATGGCTGTCATCCAAGTCTGAGTATGGAGGACCAGGAGATCCACAGTTAAAGAGACCAATGTCCCTGACTGGTGGAGATGGAGCAGGGTCTGCGGAGCACACAGATAGGCAAACAGGCTTGGACACACTGCAAACTTTACCACTGCACACTGAACATCACAGGCATTTTACACTGTAGCGTGATGGAGTCACGCCCAGTCATGTCTCACCATGAAGCAGCTGACGTCTGTAGAAGTTTTCCCTCTGAGGGCTGGCAGTGAGAGCAGAGAGCGAGGGAGTCCGAGGTGAGCCCACGCCCAGCTTTTGTTCCAGCTGCTTGTGGAGCTCCAGCTGTTTGAGAGCGCTGTTCTCCTGGACACTGTTTTGCAACTGAGCCCGTAGACTCCTCACCTCTCCCAACAACTCCCCCAGCTCTACTGGTAGAACTGGTACCTCGCACAGGTAGCCTGAAGACGAAAGACGAAATGCACAAATATGAGAACGTGTTAGGCACAGCTGTGCTTAGGTGCTGCGAGGGGTTTAGAGGGTTTTATTCTTTCCTCCTTTCATATTTGTCATACATTAGAGCTTTTCTTGAGCTGCAAAGAATTCTGTGAATTGGAATTCACAGAAAAACATCCAGTGATTTGGGTTTTTTTTCTTTTTATAGCCCATTTATCTGTTTGTTCATCTACCACCAGATGGCACCAAAGTAAGGGACACTGGGACCTTAGATAGATAGATAGATAGATAGATAGATAGATAGATAGATAGATAGAGCCACAAACATGAATCAATTTTATTGGAATTCCACGTGAAAGACCGATACAAAGTGGTGTACACGTGAGAAGTGGAACGAAAATCATACATGATTCCAAACA